GCCACCTCGTTAGAGCTCCTTACGAGCCTGTTTGCGTCGGCAAGACTCCTCGACCAAGGTCTCAAGGCTGGGGCACCCCTTTCAAGTACGACAAGAAGTGCCCCGAGTATCATTGTGACGTTTATTGGAGTTTTTTCACGGGTAGAAACTGGAGGCGCGCGCGTCGTCCAACTCAAGAGGTAACTTTGCAATTCACCTCGCATTGACCTGATGGCCAACATTCTTGCTTTCCTCACTGTGTTTACCGCGACCGTGAACCAAACCGACGACCGCCAGCTCCAAACGGCCTCATATTTTTGCTGGAAGGCAACGCGGACACGCGGTGTTGGTCGTGTGCCGGAATCGTGCGCCGCCGGACAAAAGCGCCTGGGTCTGCTGTGCTATGACAGTCTGCTGTGCTATGACAAGTGTCCAGTGGGCACGACCCGCAAAGGCCTCGACTGCCACTCGATCTGCCCCGCTGGGCTCGCCGACCAAGGACTGTTTTGCCGCAACAGTGAATACGGCCTGGGGGTTGGGTACCCATGGAAGTTTGGCGACTCGCTCAACGACAGCGGCATGTTCCAACGCTGCCAAATGGACCACGGGCAGGACAAGTGCGAAAAATGGGGGTTGGTTGTGTGCCCCAAGTGCTTGCCAGGCTACACTTTGGTTGGTTGATGTATCTCTCGACCTAATTCCCAAATGCGGGTCCCTTGGCTGGGGCGGCGGGTTGGACTTGTCATGTGCCAAGGAAATCACGGTTAGGGCACCCAGGCCAGTAGTACGTACTTCGAAGTCGTAAATATGAGCCCGGTGGTCGTCGGTTTGGTTCACGGTCTCACTGACCATGGCGGCAAGCGCAGTGAGGAAAGGAAGAATGTTAGCCATCACGTCAAGGCGAGGTAAATTGCAAAGTTACGTCTTCGTTGAATGACGCGCGCTTCCAGTTTGTTAGATATGAGTACTTTACTTTTAGTAGTAGTACTATATTATTATGGAATTACACTTGAACTGATCATGTGAATGAGTACAGTGTATTGTGACAAACAACATCACGTTGAAGTCGCAGTATTGCATATTATGGGCTAGGATGGTCGGCGGTTTGAGGTTCCTCACGTTTACCCCGAACTGAGCTCATCTATTGTGTGGATAGTTAACCCCGAACTGAGCTCATCTATTGTGTGGATAGTTAGCTAGCTGTACAGTCCGCCCAAAAACTATAGACGCACCCAATATTTTTGTAACTTTATGACAAAAATTTCAAATGCTGTA